TACCGCAAAGCCAACAATGGTATTTGCCCAGAAGTTCTGTAAAGCATTCAACTTAGGATATTGAACGATCATTACATTGCTTAAAGAGGAAGACTCATGCTCTAAAACGAATTACCAACGAACGAGTTCTGACCCTGGCGTCTGTGAAACCATTCCAAACGCCCTTGTATCATGGGAGTAAGGTTTTCAACACGGATGTTTTTGGAATACGAAGTAATAGGAGATGATATTGTTGAGTGTAGGCTTAGTGATACTCTGGATATTTGCATGAAAGAAACGAAAGAAGCATCTTCTCGTTCATTTTCAATTCAAAGTAAAAATTTACGAAATCTTCAGGGGACAGCACCGTCTTTGTGAATTTAAAGACATGGACGTCAAAATACGACTACGCAGGCTACGTGCAACCGAATTTCCACATCCCAGTGATCGCATTGGGTCAGTATAACATCTAGCCGTAGGTCAAACAAGGCGGTTAAATAAGACTTAAGAAGAAACATCTGACCATAACGATAGCAAACTCAACATAATTTAAATAAACAGGCGGATTGGAAGAAGAGCTCAGAAGGCGAAACTGGCGAATGAACATCAAATTAACATAATAATTCATGATAAGTCCTATGACCAATGACATCTCTGTAGGTTCAACAAAGTGCATTTGAAATACGACTCTGCAAGGCACAAAAGACAGGGATACTTCTTCAGTAAAAAAAACACCAAGTTAATGCAGCATAGATTGGTAGGTTACGACGAAACTTTTGACGAACCGAAGCAACTTCCACCGTCTATTAAACCATTTCGACCACTCTTACACTTCAGCAGTGAAGCCTACGACGTTGGTGCGTAAAAGGAGACATTTGTTGATTGCTTTTTATCGCCTTGAAAGGAACGAAATTGCTGAATTTTCGCAAGCTTGAATTTTCATTATGAACTGGTTCTTGAATGTTGATAATGTGAGTACGTAAGCATTATGCCGTGAATGCACATCGCTACTGGTGGGATTGCTGGAGTTACAAAGTGGTCGCCAATCTCATATATTCATGCCACTTTGACTGGTCTTGACCTTATCGTGATTACCAGCATATATGGAATTTGTCTCCACTTAAGGGGGAGAACTCAACGAGTACAAATTGGGAAGCATTCTAGGATGTCTTCAGAGGTAACTTCTGAAAAAACCGCCAAAACGTTCAAATGGAAATGCTGTGCAAGAGTTGTGGATATTTTCAGCACGATTATTTCCTTTACACCAACGCCGTGAGGTGCATATAAACTTTTAGCCTGAAGCTTCTAGACCGAATGATCAATCCAATTGTCGAACCACTGTGGAATTAATATATTTCCTCATGCGCCATATTTTTTGAACAAACTATGAGTATCGTTGACGCCTATGTTCAGTACAATGGCCAAGTTCTTCCACTTATGAATGAACGCGAAACTTAAACCCTGATCGAATCGATGAGGGCGCAAAATTACCGGTCGGTCAAAGCCGTGACAATGAGGAATCAATCAACTCAAAAGTATGTCTTAACCACGGAGAACAAGGGATCAAGAGCTGAAAACTTACAGAAAGCCCTAAAGCCACCGTTGAATCTTTACTCACGTTGATTAGTAATAAAAGCCCTAAGTTCAGTCAAATACGAGGTAGGTGGATGCCTTAGAAGTTGATAAGACACTGCTTAAGGCAAGTTGGATTTCTTTGAAAAAAGTATGGGAAATTCTCGAAAATACCCCACATTAATGAGCCATCTTCTGTAATGCGAATATTCAGGAATGCGTTTTCCATAACTAGCTGCTACTAAGTCATTACCAACACCTCTTAACCACAGTAGCCAGGCTTTTGATATCATTACAATAAGTACTTTTAGCAGAGGTGAGTTAACTCACCAGCAGCGGAAGGAGCGAGAAAGTAGACGAGAGCAGCGCAGAGACCCGCCATACTCACGGCAAGGAGGATGTAGATCATCCAGCCTAGGATGAAGGCTCCCACGTGCTCCAGGTCACCGTCGTGACCCGTCAGCAGGCGCTCCCATGAGTACCACTGCAAGATCAACAGAAAGATTGCTACTCTAAATATATTCGCATCATTGCACGGATTTTTTCTTCAATCAACACCGCGAATCGGCCACCACGCTGACAATGCGAGGCCATACTCACGGCACCCATGCTGCCAGTTTTCTAGCTTTTCTAGAATACTTTCAGGGAGAAATTTAGGCGGATTCCAAAAGAACTTTTTCATCAAAACCGATCATGTGAGTCCCCAATCTATAAACCCTTCTCTATGACCATTTTACTAGTTCTTACGTTGTTTGCTGTTATGTGAATCGCGTCCCAAGCCCAGGAATCCCTTATTAATTCAAAAAGACATAGAAATTAAGATCGATCGTAGATGGTAACGGAGGCATAGAAAGTGTTATATTATGTCTACTCAGACGGCTAAATTCCGTTGCCTACGGGGAAGAGCTAAAGGAATGTGCATACACAATGTGCTTGTCGTAGCGTACTGGACGAAACACGTTCTTCAACGAGCGACAAAGGAGGTCAAATAAATATTCGTCCATGTGCTAATCCTCGCACAGCTTGCACACAGGCAACGCACTAAAAGCGGATTTCAACTAAAACAGGACGTCAGACACTGAATTAACCATCAATAATCAGTTGTTGATGCCTGTTTATCAGTAAATCAGGGCAATTTCGGCAGTTTCACGCACGGGCATTCGGAATGTAAAGAAAACGTGACTCTAAATTCTACTGCCAAGTGGACTTGTGCCATTAATGGCGACCCACAGTACTGAGCCTTGCTGCCTTCAATACAATCCGCTATGGGATTATTGCAACTTGTATGGACTTGTAAAACGCATGCAATCGTTTACACGGATATATCTTAGAGCACATGCTATAGACACGGTACCCTTCATTGTGGTCTATACTGCTTCTATTGTATTTTTAACTCTCAGTTCAAAAAAACTGTTCGTTGAACACGATAGACGTAATTTCAGCTTTTTTTGTTGCTTCACAAACCCAATTTAACTCAGTTCTAAATTTAAGCTGCTCAGATTCTCGTACAACCTTTTGCATAGCACTTTGAGAAGGTGTGATATCCGGTAACAGGAGGTACTACTCAGAAATGCTCCACGAAAAAATGACTTGGGTGATAAATAACCACTTCTGGAAGAGTGGTGAATGAGGATTAAGCCATTCGGTCAAACTCACATCACCTGAGAAGGACTTATGGTGGAAGCTAAGCAACATTATTCGACGACGAGCACCACGGGCTATCTGCTTCTTCTACACCTCAACATTCATTAAGCAAATGAACATGCCACTGGTTACCTTAAACGACGCGATATCTATCCTACACTTCTGGATTACCCGCCACCTCATTTCCACAAAACGATGATTAGTGTTTGAGAATGTGGTGCACTAAGCATTGTCCACTCATTAAAGGCCAAAGAATGGTTATGGCTGAGACCGGGTTACTCGATACTACACAACTCAAGAGTGCGCAAATAAAGACCTCTTCTTGGGAAACAATCAATCAGATGGAAGAAGATTCTACTTATGTAAGACAGCGCAAAACCCCTTATCCCATACCAAAAGAAAACTATCCGTGAGAGAATGTCTCACATTTGCCTTCCTATGACCCTTATATTTGAGTATATTTGATCATTACCGCCATTTCTTAGCATTGAGCAGCCACATGATTACATGTGGGCTAGAAGGTTAGGGAATGAAAAAGGGATCGAAGCAGGGGTGAATAAGGTCGGGTTCATTTTTTTGCGTAGAGAGAAAGCGTTTTAAATAGTTGAATAGGGGAATTTAGGACTCGTTAGGAAAGACTGGGAGATTGCAACGTTAATTATTTAAACGCATAAGGCGTTTAGTAAAATTTCTGCAGCTAATCCTTACTGTGAAAATCGCACTGAGCTCAATGGTTGCGTTGTGTTTAATTGCTCTACTAAGCTTTCCTCCTCATCGTTACCGCAGCGCATGCGACAGCTTTTGGGGTTAGGCCTATTCCTCCTTTATGCATGAAAGCCAAATTCCTTATTCTAGGTCGAAATAAGCAAAGGCAATAATTCTTGAGTGCTTATTGGAAAGCAGTAAACACGAAATAAATCACTCGAATCTCAATCGCAGGACGGCTAACCTTGTAAAAAACTTCGATATAAATTGACGGCAAGACAGTCCTGAGCGAGAGAGGAATGGAAACTCCAAAACAAAATTGAGGATAGAAGCATTACGGCGAAACTTCTGTACAGAATAACAGATGAGAGATGGGGTAAGACCAGATAATGCAACAATAAACACTCAGTGAGAGATTAACAATTAGAGTAAAAAGGTTGGAATCAAGAGCTTCATCTGGGTAGTAGCTGCTCAGTGTCCATCACTTCCAGATGTTACCTCATGCTATGAATAAAAAAGCAGCAAGACTCAAACACCAGGGAATTACAGCGAGCATGACCACTTCCATGGGAACTGATTCCTCAGTCAAGAGGACAAATGGTGGGCCAGTTGAGCGAAATGGTGTTTACCATTAACTCCACAAAATCAAACAAATGGAACTTCGAAGGAGCTAAAAGAGATGCGATTTAACTCATTTTCAAAAGACAGCATTTTTGACGCAATGCTGTATTAAATTAGCAACTAATGGATATATTTACGAGCAGAGTGAGCTGTCCAAAAAAGCTACTGCGACACACACGCAAACTCTAAAAAGACAAAAGAGTAAGGATGGATCCCACAATAGAGCACTGCCCGTGTCATTTGCATCAGGGACATAAATACCCCATAACAAAAAAGTCTAGCGTACAACGCTAACCGCGACAACTATGTGGAATGTCAAGCTAGCCAGATCGGGAAGGAAAGAGTACTCACAGTTATAGCAGAATGTTGTTGTTTTTCCGTCTCCCACTATTTGCCCTCCACTGAAAACATAATGCTCTGGCCCCCACAGCTCCTATACGCAATTAATAAAGCGAACACTGCATAGGCACACCATAAAGCGTAGTTAACTCAGTCGTTACAATGACAGCAGTGCGAAAGGGGTTCGCTCGACACTATACTCCTTGTGAAGGATTTGGCCCCTTTTGCTAATACTTTCAAAATACCTAGCGTCAAAAGGGACCAACTAGTTGGTGCACAAGAAACGTCATAGAAGACAGGCACCTCCAGAGAGTGGCTTTCTTTGCAGGAATTCAAAATAAAGTCCGAAAAGTGGAGTTGACGTCTAATTTCATGTTAAATCACCACGAGGACTGTAAGGCGGAGGAACCTAGAGTGAACAAGTCGACGCTTTTTCATGACAAACCGTGCACAGTATACATCCGAAGGCGGCACGAGTTAGAAAAATTTGACAACCAAGTAATTACCCACGTTGTAACAGCTATAACATAACCCGGATAGAGGGGTATGCAGTAAATATTTGGCAGGGATAAAAGCTAAACAAAATAGCGGGAAACGAATTCGACCTTGAGATAAGCGATTTGTCAAATGACATCTTGCCGCTAAAAAACATTAAATTTAACCAATACTTTTTCAATTAAACGCTTCAACAGAGCCCCTCATAAATAATAGTAATAATATAGATGAAGCCTACCAAGATTTTCCGGACATTTCACTATAGCTAGCACACTGGGTTGGAAAACTGTTGTAGGATATCCGTTCCTGTCTCGCGATAGACTTCGATTAACTTGAGCATCGTTTTGAAAGCCGACTCAAAAGTGCAACAGCAGACAGGATTGAGGACCATACCGAAAACATGACAGAGGCTATTTGCCCAAATTACAGACCCTGCTATACAAGCCCACTCAGTCGCCAGGATCCGACCACGTTGGCGACAGGGAGGTCTGATTCTTATTACTTGTACTGTTAGTGCGTTAATATAAATGCTACATAGTAAGATGGGTAGACACTGGATAGGATTAATCTAGAGAGCAATCATCAAAGTACCAATGAAATGTATTGTAACCAGCCAGAAAAGGGTGTGATGTAGAAAATCAAAGTGATTCACTGACTGTAGAATAATCATCGCACTACCTACATAGTTAGGTTTGCGGGAACGCAAACTAAATAAGTCCGATTTTGTGGTATAATTCTAGCATCAGGAAATTTCAGCCTACAAGAAACGAGGTAGGGAAAAGGAGAACAAACCTGTTCACAGGAATAGAATCCAAAGGCAGCTTGAGCACCACTCCCTGCGATGCGTGGGTAAATAAGCTCCTTCGTAGTTGCATTTGACGTCATCGTCAAACTAACAGAGGTGATTTCAGTGGCAGTGGAGTTTGCAGTGGTGGCCGCGGTGGTAGAATGACTAACGGCAGAGGGGGAGGAGAGTCCATAGAGGGGAGAGAAGACAGTCATGTTGTAGGACCAGCAACACTGTTCTTGGTTCAACCACAACTGATCGCGGCATACGCCCTCCCTTAGACTGGAAAGCCAGCTCACTCCAATGTCGACCATCACCGCAAACAAGCCAACCAAGGCACCGATCAGGCCCACGCAAATCCAGCCGGAGCTCGAATCCCAGACGAGCAGCAGGCGACCCAACAGGGAGTACTGCAATGTATCCATGGATAGCATTCAACTCACTTCTCATCCCACCCATCCACTCGTGGTCACCATTAAACTGAATAAACTCAAGGCTCGTTGTCTGCCGATCACTTCGAAATCTTGGGCTTTGGAAGTGAACAAGTCAAAAACTGTGTATGGCATACAAGTCATGGCTTTCCTCTTACAAAACGTTCATGATATCCGTTCAACTGGTTTACCCTGACGGTTGCTTCGAGAGCCTAGAGGTAGTAGAAAATGCAAGTCTTTCCCTCTCAGAGAGAACAAAGAAGGTTCCTATGTGCGAAACATGACACCATAAACATATTGACACTTAAATTGGGCAATGCGGGATGAGCGAAGGAAGGAACATGAATGTGTTTTTCCAATTAATATTGGCATTCCTCGGCGCTGCGGTTGAAGCCAACTGGATGTCACACAACCACAACCATTTTCTAACTACTTTAATCATGGTCAACTTTACGGAAACTAATTCGTACTACCGGCACATCAACACACAAGGCATCTCTTAAAATGCCGTTAAACTTGGGTACAAGTGAAGATATAAGAAAGAATAGAGATTAATCACATGACACATTGATGTGTGACTAATCCCTGCCCAGCCCAGACACAGACGCCCCTAAAAAATAAAAAAGCGAGGCATATTTGAGAACCACTAGATGACTGTACACGAAAGCAAAAATTAGTCAGGAATGTCTAGGAGCCTCACTTGTTTTTGACAATAAAAACCTCGGATTTAACATTTATTGTACATCTAAAGTACAAAAAAGGAGGCCTTTTTTTAATGATTCCATACAAAGAATTTTAAGAACGATGAACCCCTCGCTGTTTATCCCAAAAAGACATTTTAAACGATACAGATCATATTTTTTAATGATTAATTAAACGAAGCGGAAAATTTTAATTAATAACTGAAAGATAGAAGCATAAATGTCGAATATTGAAAGCGGACCAATAATGTGGATATGAAAAAGTTTCCGAAGTTTGACCACCACCTATCGGATATGGGAAAGGTTTTATGTTTTGTTTGTATCCTGACAAATTTTAATGTTCATCAAACATGGTGGTAAACTATTCTAAGTGCACAAAAATGCATTTACTGCAGATTTTCACCCACACTAAGACCAGCGATTTGTCAATTATGACCATTATGAGGTAGGACAGAAATGAATGTCTCTGGTGGACGAGGAGACAAATTTTGTTTTGAAAGGGCCAATAAAAAGATCGGCGTAAGCAGAGAAGTGAACTATTGTGACGATCCTAAATAATGCACCTACCAGGTGAGAAATGAAAAACCTTAATTACGTAAGTGATAGGATTGAGAGTGTACTCAACTCCGTCATTTCCTGTTGACTGATTTTGCTTTTTTGAGGCAGTTAGGAAGTGCTTTTGCATTATTTTAAATACATCCCATAGTTTGTGACTATCGCTAAAAAAGTCTTTTAGAGCAGTTTATATGAAGCTATTAAAAAGTCGGTCGAAAATTGGCATAATTTCAGAATATGAGGCTACTTTGTAAAACCACAACGTGACAGGACAGATGACGACCAATGGACACCGTAAATGGAATTTTCACTTGCAATAATCTTTGTTTTGAAATAAACTAAGAGCCGCCTTGAAGGGCTGAGGCCGTGGTGGATACAATGCTCTCTCGGGTCAGAATCAAGCGTGTATCCATCTTAAACACTACACATGGATTGGCAGCGACGGCGTTAGATGTGGCCACTATTCTGATACAATTCGATGTAGTAAGGAAGCTGGATAGGGAAGGCGGATTTTGCTACATAAATCAAGCAATTAGACGATAGAAATCGTCGAAATATTTCGTATTTTTCTGTAACCAACCTTCGCCTCAACAGTGAATATATATTCGTAAATTTAAGAAACGATTAACAGTCGACGGATCCCTTGAAGCTCCTGAGATCACCTACAATTTTGCTGAACCATTGGCAATGCTAGTGTTGTGAGTTTTCCACTCCTTTTTGTTACGAAACAAACAAATTTCATCGCTTTCAAAAAATTAGCTCCAACGTGAAAAACCACAACACATCAACAAACAATGTGTTAAAATTGTGACAGCATGACTACTTAATGCGCACGAAGGAAGACGTATCCTTATGATGGTTTTTATAATGACAAAAAAGCAAATTAATTGTAGTGAAACTTTGATCCGAGAGCAGGACAGTGGGTAGTGGCGAAGTAAAACACTAGCAACATAAATTTGAGACATGGTTCAAGTTCTGTGTAATCAAAAGAAATTAAAGAAAACCTTACAATAGAAGAAGTTGAGCACTCACAGGAACAAGTAGGTAATAACTACTTCTTGTGGTAATCTTCAAAGACGTGATGAGCAGGGAAATCATGTTTCATATGACATAAAAAGTGGTGGGCTTTTATGTGAATGCAAGCTACGCCATCGAAATAATGTTGTAATTCGTGTTTAAATAAAAGCATACCTAAAGTACTAAAACGAAGCTTTTAATTCGAAAGGGTTTTGTTTATAACCGATGGTATGACAGAAGGGTTTAGATCAGAGTAAGCTATGTAGTTACGGCGTAGGCGTAGCGCACTGAATGGTCCAATGCTAAACCATGCGTGCTAAGTCAAGGCGCAGGAGGTAGGTCTCATCACGCGTGCTAAACAAACCAACAATGAAGTAACTTTTTGCTATCAAACCGATGCACCATCATGTATAACGAAAAATGCGTCTTCGAATATGAGTTATGAAGTGAGAATAACAGCGCAGTCGCCTTGTAGCAAGTGTCATCCAGTACGCATACGCCGCACATTTAGTATGGCATCTAGGTTTGACGCTCGAAAAAATGATACATAACAGAGCAGGCTTTTGAAATGATACGAACGAAGATTAACAAACCTTAGCACGTTGCCCCATGCGAGACCGCCTATCACTGTCCGCATTAAGATCCTTCACCCAATCCACAGTATCGTACTCATCGTAGGTCTTCCTTGGTCTTCCGCACTCGTCATTCGCCACCGAGGAGGTAGAGGCCTGTGGCCGTTCACCGAATCTCGACTCCTCGGGGTCTAGGGTCAAGAAATAAAAGTAGGTGGAAAGGACTCAGTAAACGCAAGCAACTTAAGCGCGCGAGTTCACAAGTAGGTCAATTGACAGATAAAAAGCGCACACACAGATGGACAGTCGAGGGCGATAGTAACATGTATGTGTTGAAGACGATGTGCATGGGAGAATTAAAGCAAAGCGAAATAAGAGAAGGGAAGGCACGACTATGAGTAGAAGGGGGACGATGGAAGGCACCTACCAAAAGTGCTCAAGCGCACGTAATCGCAAGGGTTGGTTGGGGAATATATTCCTAGTAGATTCTCTGTTGATTCGTCTTGTGGAAAAGAGGGGCTCCAGTTAGTTAGTTAGCCAAAACAGTTACGTAAGCGAGCCAAAGTTTGCTGAGCAGGCTAGAGGGTGAGATATTGCTTGAGTTAGTCAGGGGATACCTGAAGTACTAGCATCCGCATGAGCAAGAGCTTCCAGTGGGATTTTAACGGATGCTTTACTCGAAGTAGGATCCATCGCCAACGGCTCCCCATCTAATGCTATCTGAGTACCTTTCGTGTTTGAAATAGAATGCACGCCATAACACTTTCGCCCCAATCATCAATAATGGAAAGGAGATGATTCGGTAAATGCCAGGCTTAAGGACATTACGACTTTCTCCAAAAGCACAACATTCAAGTCGAATCGATAACCAACAACTACATATTCGTTAAACAATAAAGCTTTATTTCTGGGGTAAATACTATCTCGTTCTGTCAAAGGAAAGTCCTAGATCTTCAGGCCGGCATCGATGCGGGATGTCAAACAAAGTTGAATGACGTTCTTTAACAAATTCAAAACAAAATGAAACATGGTAAACACGAACTATGTGGGTAAGGCGACATCAAAAGCCAGCGCTGCTTTAAATTTGAAACAAGAAAATAGAACACCAAAGACTTTTCAATAGTAAGTGCCCCAGTCATACTTTATATTTCTACAAAATTATAAAGCGAGCATGCATTTAGAGATAGGACAAATAAATACAACATAATCTAAAAAAGGGATAAATATTCACCTGAAAAGGTATTCCTCACGCTAGAAAGTGACATGTACTGTCGAGGGAAGCTGACATCAAGCATTTCCTCATCGGATGCCATTTTATGGCGCTTGAAGAACCTGAATTTGCGCGCAATTTTAACAGATACGCCTCAGCTAAAATGTTCCAAAAGGTTACATTCGAATAATTGAAGAAAAGGGCCCCAGAAAAAACTTATTTGGGGCAAACCCTATTACTCGGATATTCAGCAACATTACGTTAGGCACAACGCCAGTAGGTTAGACCAGTAGTCAAAATAGGAAAAGGTAGCTGTGAACGCACATATCCACAAATTACAGTGGAATCAGATTTCCGGAAAAAACGGTAAGGATGAAGAAAAATGTGATGCTTGTTATGATTAAAAAGGATACCTTAAATGAAAACGAAAGTAATGGCAGAAGATAAAATCATACTACCAGAGCTCAGTAAACTGAAAAACAAACCAAATATACAGCAAATGTACTTGACAAACATCCACGATATCTTACAAAAATCTTATGACACAAAAAATCCTTAGACAAGTGAGAAAAACACCACATGAACGCAGAAACCATTTCAAAAAGCTACCCAAAAAAAAACAGGGGAGTGTCAAATCTATGGCTAATCCAATACACGCCGACGGGGTTTAGCAACTCGGGCACTACAACAGCAAATCGACGTATGAACAAAGGGGAAGCTATAACCTATAGAAAATCGTAATAATGCGCATCAAAAATCACATGCATAGGCTGTGGCAAAGTTGAAAGAAATGAAGAGCACAAATGCAAACGATATATTACAACCACTAATGGTGACTTTAACGCCCAGAAAGCCTTGAGCTTGTTAAACAAGTGATGCAAACGAAAAATTTGGCAGGTTTAGCTGGCTACATGGATAGCAAAAACATCAAGAATTTAAAAGACCTAAATAAAAGGTTTTAAAAGACAGCTCAGTGCTGTGAAAGAAAAACCAAGTATTTTGATCTGATGCTAAGTAAAGTATGAACAATACCAGATGTAGCTTAATCACACGTCTTAAATTCATTTTAGGTAGAAAATCAAGCGTATGTAAAAAATTTACTTAAAAATGCGGTAACGGAAACGAACCAGCAACCATTATTGCAAGATGCCTGGTTTGTTAAACATGGATTTTAATAAATGCCTGTTAACGTCACTTTGTAGCGTCCAAAATGTGTAATTCTTCCATTAAACCAAAAAACACTTTAGCAGTTTTAAAAACAATGTATGGGATATCGACCTTGTTGTGGCCTTATTGTCACCTCAGCTTTGACGACACAAGCTGGGTTTTGCTTTCAAATCGGTAACTAAATCAGGCACCACTTGCAAATTTAGTGATTTGATGCAGTTTGCAGAGCCAAACTGCACAGTGAGGAGGTAGAACGGACGCTACAAGTAAACACACGGACCTAGAGTCTATGGCTTTGCCCCTTGACCACACCTTGGCTGCGTGGTTAAATGCAAATTTAAATTAAAATGTAAGAGGGCTAAAGTATTGTAATACGATAGTGGTTTATCCCTCGGTTCTGGTGAGGCGCCACTTTTGTACTTTGAATTAACCCCCTTCTACCTCGCTGGGTGGGCTGGCCTTTTGGGCCATGCCAATAGCCCAGACACCTTCTCCGCGCTGAATATATGTATTCTGCCCGAGAATTGTCTTTTTTTGTCTTCAGGGAGTCTCAGAACGCTACAGCATCATTTCGTTTTACAGCATGTTATACGTTTGTGCATCTATTCGAATCTTCAATATTATACTGCGCACAGAGTCGGGATTAAGCAAGTTTAACAGATGTTACCATAGTTATTTCATGATATTTGTTTCAAAATTTGGCAGCTACCTGCATAAGAATGTCTTAGCATTTAGCAAATTACATCTAGATGAAATCCAAGTCAGGATTGTAGGTGAGGGCATAAATGCATTCATGGTATGCATGACACCTACCAAATTCTGCCCAATATTTAGTAACCTAGAGTCGTGGCAGTTTAGTTTGGTCTATCTTTTCTTTGAATTGCTAATGCCCTTGCCTTTTAGGATTGAAAGCTTTTAATTCGCAATTACTTAAATGATATCCAGTTAGAGTGCATGGGATAATTTGTGGTGCCCCAAAACCTCACTGATGTCGAAAGAAGGCACAGTACTCAAAAAAATACATACATTCAGCATAAGGAGGGTACTAGAGGTACAAAGGCAGAAACCAAGAGATCCGTTGTGATAAACAGACGGTTAAACAAACAACCAGATTATTACCAATTACTTACCTTTGACTAATGTTGTTTTAGCTGGTTCCAAGGTTAAATGCGAGGTGCTAAAATTAAAAAAATTCGTTTTGTTTAAACAAGAAAAACACAAAGATGGCCTCCACAACGTTTCGGGTTACCGGATTGCATCGAACACATCCCCTTGCCATCAAGTACAATTGTATTTAAAGATGTTTGCAATTTTAAACAGATAATAAGTGACTTGAATCGCTAAACACGTTGTGCAGTGTAGCGTTCCGAGACTTCCCTGAAGACGAAAGAAGACACACTACAAGAGCAGATCATATATGTTCAGCACAGAGATGTGGAGCGAGGCTCCTCTGTCTCCGCTTCCCAATTCCTAGCGTTCCTAGACAAGCCCGGTTGATTCGCTTTGGACATCTTTATTAAAGGTGACAAGATGGATAGGAAAAATACAATGTTCAAGAAGGAGGGGAGATGCAGTCACTAGGTAAGGGAGAGGACGATCCGGTTACGAGGTTCGAATTTCCTGATTGCCTCCTCCCTGAAAGGCACATTAAAACAACATAAGTATTACAGAGAAGGTATTCGAGCTGCTGGCACGGCACGAAGGCCAGCCCACCCAGCGTAGTACAAAGGTCAAGTCAAAAGTGGCTCTTCGCCAATACCGAGGGATAAACAACCATTGTATTACAGTAGGGTTTGTGTAAAACGTGTTTGCTTGGCCGTACTTTTTAGGTGGAAAGAGATCCTTTTCCACCCCTACTTTACTGAGCAAACACTATCGTTACTGTAGGGCAAAACAAAAGACGGATGTCTGAGAGCTACTGCTTTCTATGCGATGATTTCGTTCTAAGTCTATGAAACTGAGGGTGGAGGCTAAAAAACGTGGAAACCTTTACACATGCAGGCATCAAGCTTTAACACTGGTATTTTAAACAACAAATCAACTAATTTTTTCATACAAAATTACATGGGTTCTGATTTTGGGTCTTTATATTATAGTAAAAATTTTTATTAAGCAGTTATAACACAATAAAAAACACAAATAGGTTCAAATCCGTGCTTTTAAAAACTTGAAGAGAAAACAATACAAATGCAACAAAATTTGGTTTTTTGAAGAAACACATTTAAATTGTTCGACTTGTTTAAATCTACTTCCTACAGAAACTTTTCTGTGTGATCTGACCTGATTCGTCAGGTCGCGCTTCTTGTCCTTTCTTATCTCAAGCACGAAATTGCCTTTTATTTAATAACGATTTGAAGCAAATTCTTGCTGGGCTTGATTTACTTGGTGCTAGTCTTCGAGGCTGCTGCTGGTCGTGTTCTCAGACTTGACCCTTCTGCTTAACCAATCATCCAGCAAATAACTGAAACTTTGAGACGTTTATTACCACTTCCCTCCTAAAGTAGTAAATAGCATACAGGTGTTCTTGGCAATTGGCATTCCTTAGCATCTCATTCCTCCATAGATGTCGACGTCGCAGAAGCACCGGAATTTCGTTTCCGAACCCATCGGTGATAAGAGCGTTTTTGAGTTGCCTGGAGTCGGAGAGGTTCTTGGCCAGAAACTCAAGAGAAAGGGCTACGGTATGGCTTACAACGTGCTAGGTCAATACCTCCTCCTAAACAAGGATGAAGAGCTTTTCATCGACTGGATGAAACTTATCTCTTCCGCAAACCAAAAACAGGCCAAGGACTGCTTCGATGCCCTTGACAGTTGGTGTTCCGCTTTCATGCAGTAGCACCCCGCCCCTTTCCCCTTCGTTGGGTTTTCATGCATATGTACATTTCTATTCACCTATATATGGACTCTCCTACCGTTTCATATCCGTTCATAACGTTTCTTTGGTAATAAGATCAATGTGCATACTATATACACCTTCTTCGAGAAGCCTTCCAGTGAAAAGAAGATGTGAGTGTGTAAGCCACTGGATTTAACCGTTAGATATATTCATCACCACGTAAAAGTGGAAACAAAGTTATGTCGACATGACAAAGCCGTGATTAGCGCCTCTTTCCCTTCTTGCTCTTGTGGGGCTTATTCTGCTGGGGTCGGCGCTGCGCGTTGTTTGCGCTGGGACCGGGCCCGGTACCGGCGCTGCCAGATCCAGCGCTTGGTGGTGTTGAGGCTACGGAAGCGCCCGTGTTGCCCATGTCCCTGAAATTCCAAATAACCAGTTGGATTAAGCTGCAGAGCAGATAGCTAATTTTGAGTCGCTTGGTTTACCAAAATAGACTCTCCTGGGGTCGTGCTCGTTACAATGGTAATGGTTGCGTGTGAGAAGCTTTTACATGCCTAAGTGACTGCAGGAATCGCATCGCGCACGTGTACAGGAATGTTGTTAAAGGACATGTAATTTGAGAGACCGTCTGATTACAAAAGATAAAGCGGTGGCAAAACAAAAATCCTGTGACCGTCAAGATCAGTCCGCTGAGCCATTGCTGCTGCCGAGTTGCCAAAACCTACGTACAGTTACATTTGATGTCATTTGATTACAGTCTAGAAGGGTGGGTAGAACTGGAGAGAAGCATCTTGATATTTTTGACTCAATGTTAAGTTCAAATACAGAGGACTCATTCAAGAATTGAGGGCGTAAGGAAAAGGAAATGGCTTTGAGATTGAGGGCTTTCACAGCGAAACAAGGGGAGAAATATACACCTAGCGGTTTGTGACTGCTGCCTCCGAGATGACACACAAAGCGGGTCACTAAGTTGGTGGGCAAAGTGGATGAGTAGACAGTAAAGGGGAGACTCGCCTTGAGAGGCGACAATTCACAAACGAAGAATGGAAGAAATGCGGTGGCTGGAAGAGGTGTGATGGCCTTTCGGATTAGCCTCTCAGATTATTGGAACTAGAGATGTTGGGAAATGCAGATTATTAACAGAAGAGAGGATAGAGATTTTCAAGAACCGTGAGGAGGCTTTAGGGTGCCTTTGAATCCTGTCTTCACAATCATTCTAAACGCAATACATCAACAGGTGGGTAGGAAGGGGTATATAGTACAACAATGAAAACGTATAGCACGAAGGAAGAGGGAGCTATGCGGTTCCTGTAGATAGGGGAAAGCATTTAAGAGCCACAGTTAACCGAAGAATCAACTCACGGTATCTGTCATCCCCAATATCTGCAAAAGCTTCAAACGATTGTTGATCGCTACCTTCAAAGCCATACATATGAAGTAGATATCTCAATCAATTGAGGTATAAAAAAGATCAAGAGGGATGGGATGGGGGAGGGTGCTTCGTGCATTGACGAGCACAAAAGCATTGTGACTTCCAAATTTTCAAAATCGTTCAAAAGTGCGCACAGATTTGGTTAAGAAATAAAGGTGGTCTTTAGGCTAGAAGTAAATGAGCGGTGTACAAAATAAGCTTAACACCCATCCATGAAGTGAATGAAAAAGGAGGGAAAACATGCATCTTAACTCTCCAAAGAGGCAAGTTTCACACCAAAAAAACCTAGTATCACCACCGTCTTGCACAAGCAGGTCACAAAGTCGATCGATGAATGCATGAAAAAGAGCTGACAAAGACAGCACACGAAATCTCTGCATCATCACTCCACTTATCTATTGAACAAAGGCGGTCTCTCCGCAAAGGGTAGACTAATAAGGCAACAGTACTTACAGCTCGGGAGCTGTGGAGGAAGTAACACCCTGGGGGCCACGCTGGAGGTGCAAGGGTTGGCGCTTGTCACGCCGCTTGCCGCGGTAACCGGTGCGCTCGCGCCTCGGCAGCCACCGCTCAGGATCCGGCGGTACGCCGGGCTCGTAGTTCTTCGGTAGCCGAGGTGGTCGCTTCTTCTTCTTGTGCTTCTTCGGTGTCACTGCCACCGCCCCCTCTGTGTCACCTGCCTTGCCTCCGCTGAAAGAATTCAAAAAAAAGTCCCCCCTTAATTTCGGGGTCGGTCACATTTGAGGGCTTTTGACATGCTTTGAAGCAGCTTTTGAATGCAATAGAAGCTTTCGAATCGCTGCACGGTTGCAAGAATGCTTTTTACTCTAAAAGATACAGAACTACCCGTGAAAACACCCATGTAGTTATGTAGTCTGAGGCAGAATGGTAACTGCATTCCATTTTAAGGTCAGTGGTATACTAATGCTAGAGATGCGTCGTAAAACGGCTTTTGAATAGAAGTCAATTGTAACTGAAGCTGTCGATGCACCAAAAGACCAAAAAATAGACCATCAGATCAGCAATAGTATGGAAGCAACCGCCGCTACCAACTTATCACCGCTGGAAGAGCTTAAATGATAATAAAGTATGCAACGAGGAGAGAAAATAGCATCCCACCCTATGATCGCTATTTTGGTACTCGCGATATATTGCAAGTGCCCTTTGAAGACGATCAAATCTTTATAAACGAGAAATGAAGGAAAGTAGACAGTACAGACTTTAGCAGCTTTTTTAAGCCTATCGAAAAAGGGAAAGGTGCATTCAAAACAACCAAGCAATTGGTTGTACGGTAGAAAGGAGATGCCAAGCCGCATCCTCTTCACGCCTGATGTTTGGATTATTTTGAAGGATTCTAAAACAGCCTGTGAAGACGATCAGTATGGTTCCTTACAAAGGAATTGTGATCCTAGATTCCAAAGCACTACAAAAGTGAAGACGGGCCATTAACCTGGCATAAATACTGTTTTAAGATAGAAAAAAAAACAAAAAAACGAAAAAGGAGATCACCATACTCGACTTATGCTTAGCCGTAACCCATACTTCCAAAGAGGACCAGCACTGGAATACCAAATTAATGCACTAAAATATTTGTCTGGAAATCTTGCATCTGCTTGAGTTAATGCGATAATAGCCTGACAAATCGCCTTAAATACAGGCCCTTTAGAGGGCAATGCAAAATCGGAGCTATTAAAATTCCATGTTGCCAGAATGGAATATTTGAGCGTAAAAAGTTTACTAGGATAAAAGTAGGGGTAAGTGGAATAATAAGTGGAACAAAGATCCCTACAATTGACCATCACGACATTTCATTTTAACTACCTTAAACTAAAAAGAAAAAGAACGTCACATTCGATTTACGATCAGTCGTAATGATATTTTGAGAAGGATTACCAAGACCACTAAATTCGCCAAAGCTATATTAAAAACCCGATTTACCATACTATCATGGATAAAGCACCAGCTTCCGATATCACTAAAACGTTTGGGAGGAAATATTAAAGAATTTTGTGTACTATCGTCACTTCATGTTTGGTTTTCTCTCCCAAATTTATCTCTTAAAACCATTTTGGCCTGAATTTGCGTGATTTTGATGGGCTGCTCCTTGAAAAAAATAGAAACGCCTTAAAAGATCAATGTAGGCAATTCTGTTGGCAGCGAAGTGAAAAAATGATGAATGGAAGTTTATCCTGCCATGTGCGAGACAGTTTATTGAATCCTCCAATTATACATGAATTGGATGAGGGGTTGGACAATGACTACCCGTTGTGTTATTTTAACCAAATTGATAGGTTCCACATTGCATAAGCAATTACCAAAAAACCAAGAATTAATTATGAAAAGGACAACCTTTACAAAGACTACCTCACCGATTCAGATTGGTAACAAGCCAGACATTTGATAATACATACTTTTATACCGAAGAGGAAAGCACCACTACCGCAGTTTAAAATGTTCATTTTTTAGCTTGTAATTATCGTTTTACACACATTGTTCTGAGACTAGTATTTTTTCCGATCGTATGGTACAAAAAGGACAGGGTCAACCAGAATCTAGCAAATTCATCCACGCACGCAACCCTGGTTGGCTCTTTGATGTAAAATTTCAAGTCTAGAAGGTAAACCGAGGCCAAGGTGAATAAATGTCAAACCAATAACCTGCAAGTTGGTGGCAAAAAAGAATGCAGGGACTACTAGACCTCTTCCAACTAGCTATGAAGAAAACAATCTTTTACAAGGATTGCATTATCAGCTGCAGATGTAAGCAAGTGAACACCATGAAAAGCACAAAGCTTTGCGGCTAGAGGATGAATTGGAGATAAAAGGGAGACAATACCCACCTCTTCGGTGTCGGTGCAGTGACTACCCTCCCACTCTTCTTGATACTCTTCATGTTAAAGAGAAATATGGACTCCAGAGAATCCACCTCCTTCTCACTCAACTTCTCCTTGAACTCCAGATGGCGACTTGCCTGACTCGCCTTGGCGTGGTCGAACTTGGAGTAGGCCTGAATCAGCAATGCCAATAGACTTTGTTGCTGCTGCTTCTTGACACCCTCACTGCCAGCGCTCATCTGCTTTAGAGCATCAAGACGCTGTTCTAGCAGGTGCGCGGCATCCTCAGCGAAGCCGTGGAAACGGAAGAAATCGATGCAACGCGAGAGAAGGCGATCGGAGTCAATTTTCTAGATAAATAATGTGAAGTGACGCAATGCTTTGGTCTCTGTGGTGCCTAAATTTCCTTCGCATATCTTAGCTAATGATAGTGTTAAAAACGGCTCAGCATTTACAGATGATTGCTGGGACGAAAAAAAATCGACTACGAGCATACACATCGCAACTTTGGTTCTTGGATGTTCGGTACATCTTACTGGTAGCCACAGAGACAGCTCAGGTACCTCAATGATGGATTATCTCCAATATTAGTTACTTCTTTAACAGTGGTCGCAGGATCCAGTGCCGAATTTAAACGAACGGGCAGACAGGCCACAACCGTGAAAGCTCATAGCAAAGCGTAGGTAGACACATACTTTGGAGTCTGCGTTGTGATCAATGGTAATGGTACCTTGATCCAATGAACACTTCTAATATTTTAATCGTAAGTACTACTAATGATTAAAACCCAAAGACCTGATACACCTCAAATGTAAACTGAATGCCCTAAGAAAGTCCAAACGGAAGCAACAACAGGCTAGGATTGGAAATGAATAGAAATGAAAATTAACCTCGATATTTACTTGAGGAAGGTGTTCCCATGGTACACTAATGGCATTAAGAATACACTCACTGAAGGCGATCTCTCGAGCGCAGTCTCCATTCCGTTTCATTTGCCAGCTAAGAGAGCTGGGAATGACATTTAATGTGACAAGAGATCCATGCAGTTTGTTTGCTACGATTTCTGCCGTACATAAAATCACGCAGTAGTTGACTTGGTGCACCTCCAAATCACAATAAACCACAATT